ACTAGTTTTTTTTTTCAAAAATTCAAATTTTTAGAATTTTAAGTAATTTTTAAAATTTAAACAATTTGGCAGCATTGAAAAACATATTTTTCCTTTTTTAGGTTAAAAATAGATTAAAAATAAAATTTTCTAAAATTCAAATTTTTAGAATTTTGAGTAGTTTTTAAGATTTCAAAAAAATTAGTAGCATTGAAAAAAAATTAAGAAAATTAATATTTTCCGTTTTTAAGTTTAAATTAAAAAAAACTTTTTTCTAAAACGCAAATTTTTAGAATTTTGAGTGATTTTTAAAATTTTAACAATTTGGCAGCATTGAAAATATTTAAAAAAATATTTTTTTAAGTTTAAATTCAATTAAAATTATTTTTTTCAAAAATTCAAATCTTTAGAATTTTGAGTAATTTTAAAAATTTAAACATTTGGCAGTATTGAAAAAATTGAAAACAATATTTTTTTTTAAGTTGAAATTCAATTAAAACTATTTTTTTTCTAAAATTCAAATTTTTAGAATATTGAGTAATTTAAAAAAATTGGCAGCATAGAAAAAAATTTAAAAAAAAATTTCTTTTTTTAATTTAAAATTCTAAATTTTTAGAATTTTGAGTAGTTTTTAAAATTTAAAAAAATTTGGCATCACTGAAAAAATTAAAAAATCTATATTTTTCTTATTTTAAGTTTAAATTCAATTAAAACTAAATTTTACTAAAACACAAATTTATAGAATTTTGAGTAATTTTTAAAATTTAAAAAATTTGGCAGCATTGAAAAAATTTAATTTTTTCAACTTAAGTTTCAATAGCTCTTCTCAATATTCAGTGTTACCCTCCTTCCCCCCACAAATACCCAACCAATAAATTTATCAGCAACCTGCTGTTTTGCCAAACTTCTCATAAATTATAATTTTTGTTTGGCATTTCCTTCCTTTCAACCTCTCCTCACCCCCTCCTGCCAAGCCATTTATTTTACCTTTGCCATCAATGGAATACCACCCAAATGAAAACAATATTTCAAATTAATAGTAGAAAATTGTAATAGCATTGATTAAAAAATTCTGCCACCAGAGGCAACATCCTCAGATGTCCGGGCACAGGACAGAGATAGGGTTATGGATGGTTGGCTGGTAATCAAAACTTGGTGAAGATTTCTGTATGGAAATCAACAAGAAATTCATTAATAATTGGCATTTTGTTACCATTTGAATATTCAATGGCTGCTGGAATTGATGGCTGTCGGATGGTCTGGGAGAGAGTTTGGTGTTGCTGCTTCTGCTGTTACTAAGACAAAGATCCTTTAATTCATATTTAAATACAAGAATGCCAGTTTCACAACAACAAAAATCATTGATTGTTTTGATTATTTGCCAGAAAGAATTTTCGAAACACTCTTTGGATTTGACAGGCTTTCTTCCCTTTTGGCAATTGATGGCCAGAGTTTAAAGATTTTCGTGGCTGGGGGTGGGGAGAATGAAGAATGGCTTTGATTGTCTATAAATAATTACTTAAGAACTTCGGCTGAAAGGGGTTGAAATAAATTTGATATTTGAAGCAGGTTTTATCTCTTTTTGCTGCTACCTCTTCACTCTCAAAGAGCCTTTCTTGTTGCCAGAGAAACATGGTGTAGTTATGTGTCGCTGAGAAGCTTGGTTTAATTGTGAAACAAAACCTACCCAATTTCCTTACACACATGCCAACATGGAACACCTTTCCGAGCAGCACCCACCCTTCCTCAACATGGCCTTCATGCTAATGAGTTGGGCCCCCTTTCCCGTCACATCCACAACGGTTTTCCCCTCTAATGTATGTCATACATGTTTCTTTATAGGTTTTTAATTCAAATAATTGCAGTTTATTGCTTTGGCAACATTTTATTGTTTATTGGCAATAATCATATTAGGGCACCCTACCCCATTTCCCCTCTTGCCTGGAACACCAAATTACCATAAAACAAAAATTTATTATCATTGATTTAAATGTGTAGTTGACAAGTTTTTCCCTACACACACACATACGAAAATACACATGTACGAAATTTATTGATCAACTTTACATATGTGTCACCGGCACACAGATATAGGCATAATTTTCCAAGAATTATTGCGTAAAGACACGCAAAATAGTCTAGTGGTATGTTAGAGCCTTAATAGTAAAACTTTTTCCTTTTCCGAAAAAAAAAACCAAAAGGGGTTAGGCAATGTATTGAAGCTCCGAATAGAGTTGTTTCGAAACGGGAAAAACAAAATGGTTTTAATGACAATAAGTACCATTTGCCAGTCATAAACTAATATATCAATGACTGGCTGACTGACTGACTCTTTGACAGTTGTTAGAAAAAGTCACTTTGACAAGGCAGGTGGATGGATGGTGATGGTGATTTATTAAATGGCAGTTTTGGAAGGTTAATTATTAATGGAATATGGGAGGGGAAAAATTATTATTGCAAAAACACTACGACTATTCAATAAACTTAGTTTTATATAATTAGGAAATAAGCCATAACCACACTAACCTAAAAGTAGGCAATGATTTTTTTTTATTAATTCGAATACAACATTTTTAATTATTTTGCCCTCAAACACACGATAAAGGACTAATCAAACCCTCTTTGCGCTATATATAAATTAAATAAAAAATATTCGTAACCTAAAAGTAGGCAACAAAAATTTGAAATTTTCCAAAATTATTTTTTTTTAAATTATTTCTTCATCTAATACACACGGGAGACTGTTCAAACCCCTATTGTCGTAATATACAATTTAGGCAAAAATTCATGGCCCAAAAGCAGGCAACAAAAATTTTATAATTCCCAATAATTAGTATTTTTTATTTTTTATGGCTGATTATACAAAAGGGGACTAATTAAAACTCATATTTTGCTGCAATATAAATTAGGCAACAAAATTTAAAAATTTCCAAAATTAAGTTTTTTTTTTACAAATTTTTGTAATTTCCAGTTTTCTAATTATATTATGCACCATTACACAAAAGAATTTTGAATAAAATTCTGATTTTATGTAACATAAAAATCAAGCAAAAAAATTATGGCCTAAAAGTAGGCAATAAAATTTATACAATTTTCAATATTTGGTATATATTTTTCTTTTTTCGTTCTATTGCACAAAAAAGGACTAATAAAATCCCTTTGTGAGATGTAATATAATTTAAGCAACAAAAAAGCATGACCCAAAAGTAGGCAACGAAAAATTTTAAATTTCCAATATTTATTTTTTCAATGATTTTTATGCTCCATTACACAAAAGAAGTCTGATCAAAACACCTCTTTTGTTGTAATATACAAATCAGGCAAAAAAAAAAAAATGATAGCCTAAAAGTAGGCAACAACATTTTTATAATTTCCCACATTTTTTTTCAATGATTTTATGGTCTATTAAAAGAAATCTGATCTAAGCCCCTCTTTTTCTTGTAATATAAATTAAGAAAAAGAAAATAAGGCCTAAAAATAGGCAACAACATTTTTATAAACTCCAATATTTGTTTTTTAATTATTTTATGTGCTATTATACCAAAGAGGGCAAATTAAAATCTTCTTTTGTTTTTTAAAATGAAGGCAAAAAATTATGACCTAAAAGTAGGCAACGATTTTTTTTTAATTTCCTCAAATTAATTTTATTTAATTATTTCATCATTTAATATAGAAGAGAGACTATTCAACAAACTATTTTTTGTAATATTTACATTAAAAATACAGGGCCTAAAAGTAGGCAACAAAATTTTCAGAATATCCAAAATTTAGTTTTTTAATTATATTATGATCTATTGTACAAAAGAGGTATATTCTAACCGATTTATGGTGATATAAAATTAAAAAATAATAGAAAAACAAAAAATTGTGGCCTAAAAGTAGGCAACAAAATTTTTGTAATTTCCAAAATTAGTTTTTTAATGGTTTTTTGTCCTATTACACCAGAGAGTATTAATCGAATCCCGTATTTTGCAATTTAAATTGAGCATTTTCACTTTAAAAAATATTGGACCTAAAAGTAGGCAACAACATTTAAATATTATTTTTTTTAAATATTTATTGGCCTAGGATTTATTCAATCATTTCATGTTTTCTAATTCCTTGGAAACCAAAATATGACTTTCTCAAATTTCATTGGCAAAAATTATGCCTTAAAATAGGCAACAAAAATTGTTTCCTTTATCTTAATTGATTGCCTGTTTCCCCATTGTTCTCCTCTCTCTCTCAGAAAATTACCCTCATAAAAATCAGCACATATTACCCATATCTCATCACTTGTTTTGCTTTTTTTAATATTTAATAAAACACAACAACAAAACTTACAACATACTTTTAGGCATGGGAAACTTGTGAGATAACAAATATGGCTCACGGCTGGGCTATTGTCTACCTTGGTTTTTGTTGTTTGGCAATAACTATAAAAACAACCACCACTCTTTTGTGGTGAAATTCAAAATAAATCTTTAAGACATTACGGGTTTCATGGCATACCTTAAGGAGGAATTATTGACAAAATTTCAGGCAAACAAAAGAGAAAGCGGGAGGGAGGGGGTGATTTTGTTTTTTAATAAAATTAAAACATAAGGGTAAAAAATCATGGTTATTAGCCAAGGTATGTGTGTGAGCCATGTATTCATGTGGGCCCTGCTTCCTGTTTACATACGTGTGGATGTCTGTGTATCAAGGTAGACTTTTGTAAAGAATTTTTGAAAATTTCTTGTTTGTTGTTATGCCTTGTTTGATAATGAAAATATGATAATTGGCAAAATTTTGTTAAAGGAAATTTCAATAAATCCTTTAGTGGGTGGTGGTGCTGAAAACAAACCTTTGGAAGACAGACAAAGTTTTTGTGGAATGTTTTTTAACTTAATGACAGCATATGTGAAAGATGTGATTCCGGGCTATGGGGGGAAAGGGATTTCAAACTTGTCTCATTAAATTTAATTTTTAAGGAGTTGTTATCTATGAAAAAAAAAAAAACAAAACTTTTATTAATTGTATTTCTCCTCCTCTCCTTTCAGATTAAAGCCTTATTTGAAGAAGTTAAACGTTTAAGAGCCATCGAACAATCCCATTTGGTACAAATTCATCGTCTCGAGGAGCATTTGGAAGCCAAACGCCAGCACATCGAACGTTTGGAAGCCAAACTGGATAAGGACCAAATTAACGAAGCTTTACAGGAGGCAATTAAATCGCAACAACAAATGGAAACCACGAAAACCGCCGCCGAAAGTAGTAGCGCCCCAGTGGCGCAAATGGTCATCGACGATGAGGACGATGATGACGATGTCGATGACATCGATAGAGAACAACACATTCATGAGGAGGAAAAAGTTGAGGGAACGGAAAATAATAACTGTGATGAGGAAGATGACGCTGACAATGACGGCGACGATGAGGATTTGGACAAGGAAAACAACAACGACAATGAACAAAATCAAAATGCCAACAATTCGGAGAACGACAAGGATTTCATCAAAGTCAAAAAGGAAACACAGTAAGTAATGTATAAGGCAATCAAAAAGAAAAAAATAAATAAATAAATAAATTAAAAAAAAAAAACAAAATTATTTTTTTAATTTTTTTCAAATATAAAAATTTATAAAAAATTATAAAAAATTAAAAATATATTTTTTTTTCAAATATAAAAATTAAGACATTTTTTTTGAACTTTTATATTTATATATTTGTTTATATTTTTCGCCTAAAAATATACATATATATTTTAAATTAAAAATAATAATAAAAAAAATATTTATAAAAAATTAAAAATATTTTTTTTAATTTTTTTCAAATATAAAAATTAAAAAAATATTTTTTGAACTTTTATATTTATATATTTGTTTATATTTATATATTTTTTAATTTTTATATTAAAAAAAATTCCTTTTCTATTTATTTTTTTATCACCTTTTTCATCAATCAAAGAAGAAAAAATAAACAAAAAAAAAAAATAAATTTTATAAAAACTAAAATATTTTTCATAAATTAAAAATATTATTTTTTTTAACGAAATAATCCTTTTTTGAATATAAAGATGTAAAGAATATATTTTTTTTATTAATTTTTCGCTACAAAAATAAATTCTCTTAATTTTTTTTATTAAAAAAAAAAAATTAAAAAAAATATTTTTAGTTGCTTATTTTTTGTTGTTTTTTTATTTTTATATATGTAAATATTTATACTTGCTCGTCTAAAAAAAAAAATATATTTTTTATTTATTTTTATTTTTTATCATTTTTTTTATCAATCAAGGAAGAAAAAATAAACAAAACATAAATAAAAAAATTAAATAATATATTCTCCTAATTTTTTTATTAATAAAATATAAAAAAAATATATTTTTTATTTCCTTATTCTTTGTTGTTGCTTTTTATTTTTATAAATGCATATATTTATACTTGTTCGCCTAAATAAAATTATTCTTTATTTATTTTTATTTTTTTTTATCAATCAAGGAGAAAAAATAAACAAAACATTAATAAAAAATAAAATATTTATAAAAAATAGAAAATTTAATTTTTTAATTAAATATATATTTTTTTCAAATATAAAAATAAAAGAAAAAAAATGTTTTTTGTATGTATATATTTATATTTTTTCGCCAAAGAAAATATATTTTTTATATTTAAAAATAAATAAAATGAAAAAAAAAAAATAAATTAAAAAAAATAAAATATTCATAAAAAATACACAATATTATTTTTAATGAAATATTTTTGTTTTCAAATATAAAAATTAAAAAAAAAATATTATATTTTTTTTGGCGGAAAATATATATATATTTTTTAGTTTTTAAATATTAAAAAAAAATTTAAAAAAATGTTTTTTTTATTTATTTATTTGCTGTTGTTGTTTTATTTTTATATAAGTATATTTATTTATTTGTTCTCCTAAACTTTTTTTAGTTTTTATATTAAAAAAAAGTTTTAATTTTTTTTTTTTATTTTTGATCGCCTAAAAAATATTTTTTTAGTTTTTTTCTATTTTTTACAAAATCTAAAAAAAAAAAATTTTTTTGTTTTATTTATGTATGTATTCATATTTCTTCGAATAAAAAATATTATTTTTTTAACTTTTATATTTAAAAAAATTAAAAAATATTTTTTTTTTTTTGAAAAATTAATTTTAAAATGTTTTTTTCTGAAAAATATTCTTTTTTATTTATTATTATTATTATTATTATTATTATTATTATTATTATTATTATTATTATTATTATTATTATTATTATTATTATTATTATTTATTTATTTTTTTACTTATTTTTTTTTTTTTTTTCTTGAAAAATTTAATTCTAAATATTTTTTTCTCAATTTTTTTCCAGATCACCCCTTTCACTGGATTCCATTAGCCAACAGAATGCCATTGCCGCTGCTGCCGCCGCTGCAGCTGCCTGCAATAATGATCCCAATAAATTCCAAGAATTACTCATGGAACGTACCAAGGCCCTGGTGGCAGCCGAGGCTCTGAAGAACTCTGAAGGTAAGTTTCCGTCTCGAAAGTTTACTCAGTGACAACAATATTCACATAGAACAGAACAGAACCAAAAAAAAATTGAAAAACAAACACCATAACGTTTTGAGTTCCTTTGGAGTTGTCTATAATTTTGTTCGCCTTCGCCTTCTTCTTCCACTTCGTCTGATCATTATTATTACAAATTATTTATTGTGATTTTTTGTTGTTGTTATTATTATTGTTGTTATGCCTTGTTTACCTAATTGACAAACAAAGAAATTTTATTCACATATTATTATCTTTCACCTCGTCCTCTGGATGGCGATGAAACAGAAAAATCAGAAAAATTCGAAAACAAAAGCAAAAAAAATTAAAACTGAAACTATTTATGGCTGTTGTTGTTGTTGTTGACATTTGTGTTGTTGTTGTTGTTTTTATTGGTGTGGTTAACAATACTAAGTTCTTTTGCATTCCTTTTACTTCTATTTTGTCACTCCATTTGTGGGTGGCTTTAATTTATGGCTGTTGATTTTCCTTCTTTTTTCCGTTGAGTTTCCTCCATAACCAAACAAGCATGGCGCCTCATGGCGGTGCCCTTCTACCACCTAGCTTATCTTTCGCAGATAGTCAATATCAATATTAATATTGAAATGGTGTGATTCATCATTCTCATGCATGGAGGCCTTAGATATTCTTCAAAATTATTTTCAGATGTAGACAAAATTGGCAAAAAATAAATTGATTTTCAAAATTTTTTAAAAAATAAAAAAAAAATAGTTTTTTTAAATTACATTTTAATATTTCGAATTAATTCATTAACAAAAAAAATAAATTTAAAAAAATTATAAATTTTAATATAAAAAATAATAAAAAGTAAAAATATTACAAAAAAATCTTCTAATGTAGAGCTTCTCAAATTTTCAAATTAAAAAAAAAAATATTAATTAATTCATTAACAAAAAAAATTAAAAGCTTCTCAAATTTTCAAATTAAAAAAAATCCAAAAATCTGCTTTGATTTCAAATTTATCATCAAAAAATAAAAAAAAATATTTTTTTAAGACTTAATTTTGAATTTTTATGAAAAAAAAAACTCTCATGAGTCATGACTCAACTCAATTTTTACAGAAATAAAAAAATAATGAAATATTTAACAATAAATATTAGAATTTTCTTAAAAAAAAAGTTGTTAATATTTCAATGAAATTTGAAAATGTTAACAAAAAAAAATTATTTTTTTTTTTTGGAATAATTTTCTCAAATAAATTTTAAATTTTCCTAAAGAAATTTAATTTTTTCTCAAAAAAAATAGAAAGTTTTTCTTCACATATTTGAAATTCTTTTTAAAAATAATTTTAAATTTTTAAAAAAAATTTCGAAAATTAATTTTGAAATTTATACTTACTTCCACTCAACTCTCAAAACAATTTTCTCGCCAACAAAACAAAAAAAAATCATTCCACACACAAAAGAAATATTTCAATATTTGTTTTCCCTCCCCTCTTTTTCTCCTGAAAAAAAAAACAATCAAAACTTTCAGAGCAAGCTTTAGAAAAAAGCCGGGATGATGAAAACCTTAGCTTACAGCCCACAACATCATCATCAGCTTCATCCAATACTTCTTCAGATCGACTTCAAGTCAACAACCAGACAATCCCACAATCAATAGATAATGCCAACGTAGATGAGTCCAAACAGGAAGCCTCAAAAGTGCCAAAAATAGAAATTTTAGATGATGAGGAAGAAGAGGGGGAGGAGGAGCAAAAAGAAAAATCCGTTTCATTTGCTTCCAAAGAGTCTATCATCAATTTGGAAGATGAAGACAAAGCCAATGGCGGCGAGGAGGATGACTCCCAGAATTTTAAACAAAATGTTGAACGTTTCGGCTCGTTGTTGGGTGAGGAACTGGTGAATAGTTACTGGCGTAATCGGGGGGCCTATCACCAGCATTATCATCAGAATCAACAGCAACAACAACAACAACAACAGCAAATGGCCACCGCAACCCCCCACCCACATTCTTCACATCCATTAATGATAACTCAAAATGCCGTCCAACAGCATTACCACCAACAGCAACAACAACAACAGCAACAGGCCACAACAACTTCCACCTCCTCTTCTGCTCTAATGCATGCGGGTTCCACACCCCCCTGTGGCCCCTCGTCCACAACTTTGCTTAGTCAATTAGTTAATTCCACATTTTCCACACCCACACCCACCACCTCTGCAACTCAAAATTCCTCTTTACGTTCAACAGATGCCCACTATCCGGCGCCCCAACACCATCATCATCACCACCACCATCTGCAAATGCCTCCCCATCTGGGCGGGGATCATCACGACAAATCGGCAGCAACCGGCAATCACCATCATCATCATCCCGATTCGACCGCGTCCAATGCCAGTACCCCCAACTTGCAAGATCAACGTTCGGAGGATCACTACCAACACCACCAGTCGCTGTCCCTCAATGGTTCCCTCAAGAACTACGAAGACAACAACAACAGCCCAGCCAACAATCATCCTCTGGGCGGCCACAGCCATGGCCTGCCCCATGGTTTCTTGCCCGGTCTACCATTCCAGTTTCAAGATCGTGGCCATTTCCGTTTTGCCGACGATCTGAAACTTCCACCCGGCACCTCGATGGCCGGCCGTTTGGGTGAATCACTGATACCCAAAGGTGATCCCATGGAAGCCAAACTCCAAGAGATGTTACGCTACAACATGGACAAATATGCCAATCAGGCACTGGACACATTGCATATCTCAAGGCGTGTGAGAGAATTGCTGTCCGTGCACAACATTGGCCAGAGAATTTTTGCCAAATATATTTTGGGTCTGTCACAGGGTACCGTTTCCGAGTTGCTCTCCAAGCCCAAGCCATGGGATAAGTTGACCGAAAAGGGACGTGACAGCTATCGTAAAATGCATGCCTGGTCATGTGATGATAATGCGGTGATGCTTCTCAAATCGTTGATACCCAAGAAAGGTAAGTGGGAAGATATTTTTTGTAAAATAAATTTTAGATTAAGAAAAAAAAAATGGTGTTGCTCATGAGTTAGGGACTCAGATTGTTAATGCCTACTTTTAGGCAAAATTTTAAGAAACGCTATTAACTAAAATTTAAGAATAGTTAAAGGAATGTGGGACATTTGGTAGTGACTTCCCACGTAAATATATTTTGCTATGAAAATTTATTAAATTTCGGTGCATACTTTTAGGCGCGAAATTCCAAAAAATTCATTTTGAGTTTGAAATTTTTCTCTTACTGAAGAAAATCTATTAAAATAGAAAATCGGACAATTAGTTATAAATTAAAGCATACTTTTAGGCGCCATGTTAAGGAAATATTATAAACTAATCCATAAAAGTAATGAAATAATTAATAGAAAAAATTAACAATTGACAGGGACTAATTAAACATGTATTTCTAAAAATAGGGCATACTTTTAGGTGCAATCTGTGCCCATTTTTGCCATTTTCCCCATTATAGATGGGAGAAAATACATTATTTTTGGAAAAAGCTACTGGAACACACATTTTTATTTTTGTTATATTTTTTTTTGTTTAGAAATAAAAAAATTGATAAGTTATTGCGTTACGAAGCATACTTTTAGGCGCCATATGAAGAAAATATTCCAAAATTGAACTCAATTAAGAGCTACTGATTGCAGAAAAATTGAGAAAAGACAGAAAAATAAGACAAATATTTGCACACAAAAAATGCAGCATAACTTCAGGAGCCAAAATAAAAAAAAAATAATTTGATTTGATTCAAAAAATTATTATATTTCGAAAACGTCTCAAAACTACAAAAGAATTAAAAATTTAAATATTTTAAAAAATGCAACATATTTTCAGATGTCATATCGCAAAAAATTTAAAAGTTTTGAAAAATCCTGAAATGTATAGAAAATTTAATAGTGGCAAAAAAATCAATTAAAAAATGTATTTGAATCATAGCATACTTTCCGGAGGAATATTGATTTCGCAATATTCCTCCGGAAAGTATGCTATGATTTAAATAATTTTTTTAATTGATTTTTTGCCACTATTAAATTTTCTATCTCCAAAAATGTCATAGGAAAAGTAATAAAAGGGAAAGAAAACTTAAAAAATGTGAGAAATTCAAAAGTAAAGCATACTTTTAGGCGCCCAAAGTAGGATTACATTGGAATACATGCTTACCATTTTTTTTGTAAATAACACACAAATCTGTAAATGACAAGTATAAGAAAAAATGGCTTTCTATAAAATTTAAGGCATACTTTTAGGGGTCTAATTTTATAAATTTTACAATTTTTGGCCAAAAATAAATTCTATAAATGTCAGATATAACGCATATTATAAAGCAAATGTTTTCATAAAATTAGGGCATACTTTTAGGGATATTAGTGTGAAAGCATTGGAATAGGCTTATGTCAAACTGCCATAAATGAGAGCCTAAATTAAATTAATTTAAAAAATAAATAACAAATATTGCCACATAACTTTAAACTAAATAAAAAAATTGCAGAAAAATTAAAAATTATTAAATAACAGACAGAAAATATTTATTGCTTTTAAATCAATTTTGAAATTTTTGTTGTATTTTCCCAACTCCATTAGTTGATTGTATAACCAATTTCTCAAATGTTTCATAATTTTTTTTTTTAATTTTATTTCTTCTAACATTTTTGCTTTGAATTTATAATCACCAACTAATTTTAGTCAGAATTTTTTTTCAATTTATTTTTGATTTTTTTGTTTAATTTATTTTTTTTTTTTTTTGATATTTATTATTGTCTCTCTCACACTCTCTCTATATATATATATGTATATGAGCTGTTCGACCTAAAATTTAATTTAATGCTAAAATTGTTTTGCATTTTTAGTCAAACTCGATGGCGACGCTGTTGTTGTTGTTCTTGTTGGTTTAATGTTCTTGTTAATCAAATAAATTTCATTAAATTTATCATAGAATTTCACACTATTTTGATTTTAAATATGTGTGCTGTTTTGTATTGTTGTTGTTGTTTTAGTTGTTGTCAAACTATAAATATTTGTGGTTCGGTATGAAACTTGTTACAAATTTATACAAATCACAAATAGCAAATTAAAGAAAAAAAATACAACAACAAAAAAATGGCCAAAGTGGCAAAAACCCGTCAAAACAGCAACAGCCTCCTAGGAAAACAAATGTTTTACACACGGCTAATAAATGTAAAGCTAAAACAATAACAACAACAAATATTTGTATATTAGTAATGGATTGCTTCTAATGACTGTGGTCTGTTGCAACTACTCCCCAAATGCCTCTTCCTGGGCCCCAGAACTCCTTGGCTTCACATACCCCACCACACCCCGCTCTCTCTCTCCTCCTCCCAGAGCCATTAAAAAATGCTTGATTTTTTTTTTGTTTTTGCGAAATTTCCTCACTTTCTTTTCACCAACATTGTACGCAGCATCGTTTGTTTGCTTGGAAAAAATGGGGACAATTTTGACGAAATGCTACGCCACCAGATATAAAGAAATTGAAATCACAAAGATGTTCCCCGTCTTGCTGGCTGTCAATGTGTGGCAAAAAAGAGAGAAAAAAAAAACAACAAAACGCAAAAGCGTTAATGAATGCTGGGTAATGCAGACATTCATAATGACGATGATGTTGGTGATGCCGATGGATAATGGTGCAGTTGAAGATATTGCTGGCGGCTGGTACTGATGATGATGGTGCTGCAAGCGGACATGCAATTTATACCTCTTCTTGTAGTACTCAAAATGTCATATACATGTAATAATGTATAGATTTCGGCATACAAGTCGATATATCTATGATGTCTGGCTGGCTGGCTGTTTGGTTGGCCAAACCTGGGGACCATGAGAGCATATTTTCGTTAGTGGTAGGGGAAGATGGACCCGGGGAGAGTTGTTTCACTTGATGATTGTAAGCAAATAAGTATCTATAAACTGGCATTGGGCCAAAGTGTTGGCATCAAGATGTTTGTTGTTGTTTTTTAATTATTTTTGATTTCTGCATAAAATTGAAAAATCAGCAGACAATATTTTTCCCAACCCCTAACCCTGCCTCAGGGCCTCCCAATTTTTTTATGATTTTTACAATAAATTTTCAAATGTCTTTGAAGGAATTTTTGAGACATAGTTTTTTCTATTTTTTTTTTCTTTTATTTTTCTCAACTTTTTTCCTTCCTCCTTTGATTTAATTATTATTGAGCAGTTTGTTTTTTGTTGTAGTTGTTGTCGTTCTTGCCCCTATCTCTGGCGTGTAGACAGACATCAATTTGTACAAATTTGCGCGTTTGTTATGCCCACCAACAAAATGCAATGCAACAAACTTTAATTAACATGAAGATCTTTCTTTAATTACTTTCTTTTCGCAAAAAAAAAGAAAAAAAAACTTTGCGCCCAGACTTGCGGCAAATGGAAGGCCGAAGGCAATTAGAGTTTAGAACAAAGATTGGGAAGAGTTAAAACAACAACAACAGACTATCAATACAACAAATAAATAAATATCAAGAACTCGCTCCTTTGGAAAATTCGAAAAAAAATAAATAAAAATTAAAAAATAAATAAAGCATACTTTTCGGAGCCCTCCTAGGAAAACAAAAATTCCTCTCAAACCACCCAAGAACACCCCACATCTCCTCCTTATTTACGAAAAATACAAAATAAACACATCTCAATAAAAAAAATACAATTTTAAAGCCTACTTTTAGGAGCCCTCTTAGATATTCAAAAATTCCCCTCAAACCACCCAAGAACACCCCATATCCCCTCCTTTTTTACAAAAAATAAAAAAAAACACATCTCAATTAAAAAAAATAAATAAAAAAATAAAGCCTAATTTTAGGGGCATTTTTTAATATTTTAATTTTTAATTTTTTTACCAAAAATTTATTTATTTATTTTAAATAACGTTAAAAAACAGAAAATCAAATTCTAAAGCCTACTTTTAGGCTAAATTTTTTAGTGAAAATTTTTACGTTTTACGTATTTGAGGCTATTTTAAGGGAATAAATTTCCCAAGGTAGAAAAACATCCTTTTGATGAAAATATCTAATTCGGGCCAAATTCCAAAGCATAATTTTTTAGTTGTGAAAGATACTTTATTGCATATTTTTAGGGATTTATTTTTATTTTTTTAAACATTTAATCTTCTATATAGATTATTTTCCGTAAAAGCGCATCAGATTAACAGTATTTTTAATTTTTCAAGAATTTTGAGTTCCATTGCCTACTTTCGGGAGCCATTTTTCGTACAGAGATGATTTGCAATATTTTACAAAATTAAAAGCAACTACTATTCAGAGGAAACAAAATTCCAAATATATTTTTTTGTAAGCCTCTAAAGGCATAAACCTAAATTTAAAGCATTCTTTTAGGGATATAATTTTTTATTAATTTAAAATTTGCAAATTTTTGTAAAGAGGTAGCCCAGGAATTATAGAAAAAGTAAAAAAAAAACTGCTTTCAGGGCTTTCCTGGGGAAAAGCAAAATCCAAAGCATACTTTTGGGAGTTATATTTTTTAAATAATTATTTTTCCAAAGAAAATTTTCCAGAAAACTAATCTTCGAGTTCAATAAAAATATAAAATAATATTTCTGGTGACTTTAAATACAAAATCAATTTTCAAAGCATACTTTTAGGTGTTTTATGGGTTTTCTTAGGCAAACAATTACACTCTTTTTTAGAACCATCATAATTTTATTAAAATAAAAAATAGTATAACCTTTTGAACGACTTTTGAGACAAAATCAAATTTCAAAGCATACTTTTAGGGGCTTTATAGTTTTTTTAAAGCAAAAAATGTCACTTTTCTTCAGAAAGATCACAATTTTATTTGAATAAAAAATCGTAAAAAAGTTTAAGTAGCTTGAAAGACAAAGCATACTTTTAGGGGACTTATAGGTTTCCTTGAGCCGAAATTTGGAGTCATAATTTTAAAATTATTTATTTTTTCAATAAAAAATTGCTATCATTTTAAGGTTGA